CATAATTTTGGATTTATATACCACATAAGGCTGTTTAATTCTCATTTCACGTATTAAGAATTTAAACAATAATAAACGCGTTGATGTCTCCCCCGCATTTCCAAACAACCGTTTCTATGACAATTGACATAGAGTTACTATCAAAGATATTTTAAATGTTTTTCAATTTAAAATATTCATCAAGTGTCTATAATTTCATTTGTAATTTTCGACCAATTCCACTTAAAAATGAATAAATTATGAAGAAATTCCACGAACTTTTGGATCAACCCTCGTATGCACACAATTTAAAACGAGCTGAATAAGTTAAATATATGTTAACTAGAATGGCAAGCAATGTGTCCATATATGTTTAAAGATGTTGAACATTTAACAAATTCACGAGTTGAACATATATAGAAATATGCAAGAAATGTAAGTTAAGTTTATGTTAAATTATAAAGCAAACTGTATTAGTTGAGAGTTAAATTCTTTATCGCCGAAATATGGCTGAAATATTGCCGACTTGGCATTAAAGAATGATAATCAATCAATCAATCCTATTTAAGCTTAAAGTATAACCATCTGACTGCAATATTTATAATTTATTCCTATCATGTAAACCACAGAATTAAAAAAAAGATCTTCTGAAAATATTCATAAAAAACATGTTCAATCATTTACATCAACAGTTCTGTAACAAATGTACTTTTCGTATTAGAAGCATATATTGAACATATATTTGTTGCTCGTTCAAAGTATTTCAAATAATTTAAACAGTCATACTAATTAATTTTTCCAGTATACAGCACAGCTTTTTGATTAGCGAGTGATTATGATATAAACGGTGAAAGGGGCATAATGTTATATTTTTCAATTAAAAGTGTAGAATTTCAATTTAAAATAAATACGTTAAACACCAGATAAAAAAAAAACTTTTCAGATTTTGTTTAAAAATTCTTTATAACATATAGTTGATGTGACTCTTATTGTTTGCATGTGGTACTTAACTTTCTGAATACCGGAGTTTATTCCCGTTTACATGTACACATGTATGAAATAAATGCTAAATAAATACAAATATTTACAAAAAGATAATATTTGATATTCGATATAAGAGAACCTCTCTATTTGTTGTAATACGTCAATGTTTTGCTTTTTTAAAAATTTGTATAAATGAAATTCATTCTTGCAATAATTCAGCGGTCATTTTAATTTCGTTCTGTACATGATAAAATATTTTCATCGTTTGTAAAAGGGTAAGTATATATTAAGCTTACATTATCATCATAGTGCCATTTTACATGATGTTTTAAAAATGTACACTTGATACTCAAAGTATTCAAAAGGCTCGAAATGAAATCATAATATATTATAGAGTAAAATAAAAATCACAAAAATTACGCATAGAAAGTAAATATACTCACTGTGTTTTATTAAATTAATGTTCTATTGGTGGAAAGATTTTTAAAAAAAAAACCTACTTGAATATTTAATTCTTTCTCTATAGCTCCATGGTTTCCGAAGAAAATTTGTGAAACTGGACAGATTTGCGAACCAAATCTTGAGTTATGGATCTGAGTTGGACGCCGACCATCCTGTAAGCACATTCTGGTACACAGGGTATCAAAACTGCTCATGTACACTCGTATATATTCTGCAATATTCAACAATATTAACAAATTGACTACGAAGCAAGATTAAGTATGTAGAGTCAGTATTGTGTCCTCTACCAAATTTGGAATTTTTTAAAATATAAATTTACATTTGACAATTGTCTGATAAATACAGTTTTTTTTAAAGAAACTGTAATTTTTTAGGTGGTTTCGAAACTTTGATTCAAAAACGCATCAATTCATAGCATATTACATGGGTGTTTTAAAATTTTCGATCCTTATTGAATTTCATCTGAAGTATTACAAATGTACAAACTGGTACAAAATACTATTAAAATCACAAACGTAAATTTTTAAATCTTTAGTTTAAATATTTTCAAAAGAAACCAGTTTATTCCGAATAAAGTGACGTGGAACAATTTCAATTGTTTTACCTGTATATCGATTGATTTTGAAATCTTGGAAATGAATACGATGAAGAATTAATAGTTACTGTTCCAAAACTGAGATGAAGAAAGACTTAGTCAAGATTTATTTATTCATTACACACTGTAAATTGTTGATTCTCTTTCATAGAAGGATTGAAAAGTTTGAAATTGGTGGAATTTACAGTAGTTGAAAATATATAATTGCATCAGTATGAGCTTTCTGTATTTTTATACAGGGATTTACAGACCCCGTCTACAGAGCTCGCAGAAAGGAGCTGGCAGACATCGCCTTCCATTACAAACAGTGGGTACTCCAGTCTCTTACATTTATCTTTAATGTATTGAAACGTGCAGAAATTTGAAACATTGTAAACTAGATCTCTTCATTTTTATAAATTTTATTCCATTTTTAGTGGGCAAGAAATCCCAAGAGTAAAATATACAGAAGAGGAAATCAACACATGGTTAGTGAACTTTCTGGTTAAAAACAATTCAACAGGTATTTTTAACATACAAAGATAGTTGTTCAATAAGGTAGTTGGCTAATCATTTCAGGAGGACTATCTACAATGAACTGACAAAGCTTTACTCGACACACGCTTGTAAACAGTTCAATCATGTCTTCCCACTGCTCCAAGATAACTGTGGATATAATGCTAACAATATTCCACAACTAGAAGACGTCTCCAGGTTTTTACAAGGTATAGTTATTTTACATTTACAAGTCAAAAAGGAAACATACAATTAAACCAGGGGAAGACAATCATCTTAGTCATATTTTCCATGCATTCTTAGATTTCGCAAATTGAAATATTTTATATTATTTAATTTGAACTACCACATATCTATGAAGGATATGGAGATAACGAACAGTATTCAATCTCAAAGTCCATAAAACAATACATAATAAGAGCAGAGCAAACACGGACCCCCGAAACATCAGAGTGCCATGGAGGAGTGAGCATCCCCTGCCGACCGGTCACACCCGCCGTGTGCTCCTTGTCATGATCAGGAAATAATGGGGAAAATCCGTCGTCTGTTCAGTGTATAAATGGACTAACAATTGGTATGGAAAACGCCAGTCAGCATTTGACTCAATGATAAACTGTATTTGCTGACAAGGTCATTGTATCGACCATAGAACTTACGAAATGTTTACGTTTAAAAGACTGTTTATATTCTTGTTTCATCAACTTGCTTGTAAATAATTTACCTCGTTTTAGAAATTGTTCATACGTAGAGTATGCTCTTACGTATCGAATCAACTGAGATATATATACTCCGTATGCAGGTGATGAAGGTATATTGCTGCATATGTCAGGGAAGTTGACGATAGAAAAGTTAAAGTCATCACGTTTATCATATAGCTTGGTTGTTAGATTACCATTAGTGTCTTTTTCAAGAAAAATATCCAAGTGTGAAACAGAAGTGTCGGACTCTGTGGTATCTTTTATCTCAAGCTCACCAGGATATATCGTATCGACGTAGGAATGGAAATTACCATTATTAATTGACAATACGTCGTCGATATATCTAAATGTCGAGTTGAAGGCCACATCACGTGTTTTCTTCTTTTCACGCATAAGATTTTGCACAAATTCTGCTTCATATGAATATAAAAATAAGTCTGCTAATAATGGGGCGCAATTTGTACCCATGGGGATTCCAATAGACAGTTGGAATACCATACCTGGTCTCCAAAAACCACATAAATGTTGTCAATCAGAAACTCAAGCATCTTCTTGATGTCAACTTCAGAGTACTTATGTGTGCAATCAGAATCTGTTTTAACAAAATAATTTTGCAAATGACCAATGATGAGGTAAGTAAATTTACGAGATCCATTTTTATTGAAGAAGCAGCTGTCAATGATATCAAAAAGCCTGGATTTTACTTTGTCGTGTGGAATTGTTGTGTATAAAGTTGAAAAGTCGTAAGTTTTTAAGCTGTTGATTTTTGTAAAGTCTTGTGATTTCAAAGTGTCCAAAAGTTCTTTAGAATTTTTTAGTATCCACATCTGATTCACACCACTTCTTGAATATATAGTTGCACAGTACCCTTGAAGTTTTTCCTTCACTACTGTCAACATCTTAGTGAGGAGTAACGAAAGAGGCTTGGTTGAACATTTACTGGAACCTGCAATGTATCTTTGTTTGTAAGGATTCTTATGAAGTTTTGGAATCCAATATATATATATATATATATATATATATATATATATATATATATATATATATATATATATATATATATATATAAGGTAGTTCAAATACATTTTGGCTCTGTGGAATATTAAAAGTATTCAAAACTGACAGGTGATTTTGAAGAATTTCTTCCTTAGAAAGGGAAGTATTAGTAGGATTACCACTTGCAGAATTAAATCCAAGTTCTTCTAGAATGCAATTTATATAATGAGCCTTACAAACGAAGACAATGTTATTACCTGCTTTGTCGGCAGGAACCAGTACGTACTGATCGTGTAATCTATCTAACTCCTTTTTCACTTCTGGTTTATTGAACACAGAAGGATATATGGTTTTCATATTGCCCCTCAGTTTTTTAATACGGGACTTTAACGTGGATCTGATACATTTAATCCATTCTGACAAGGTGTCAACATCTTCTTTGTCATATCTTGCCCATCGTCTGGCGTAATTTTCCACAGAATCCATAATATTTATGAAATTCCGACACCAGTTGAACGATCGGGGCTCCCTATATTTAGGACCTTTAAAATAAGTGATCTAAGGTCCTCATTACGAACTATATTGACGTCACCTGTAATAACGTGTCCAGCAGGACTATAGTTATAGGGCGAAGAAGAACATGAACACGAAGGAGGATTATGTTTCAGATAGTCGGTATTCAGGCCATGTAAAGTGTTTTTGTAATTGAAAAGTTCGGAAGTAATGGTCGATGTATATTTGTAGGAAATACAATGTGTAGTCTTTAAGTTGAAATAGGTTGGAATACAAGACTGGACCCTTTTGTGATTAAGAATATTACTTATATTAACCGCGTCAATTCCTTTATTGGCATATTGAAGTTTAAGGAAAAGACGGATTATTTTAGCTGCATTTTCTTCCGTGAAGCGTGCGGGTTTAAAGAGCCTATGATATGCAATATCCATAATCAAAGATCCGAGTCTATATTCAGGTGACGAGGAATCTAAAATTGGATGCCTTTTCAAGAAGACTATTTAAAAGTTTCAAAGGGACAGAGTCAAGTTTTGTTCGAATATGATGTAGACCCAACTGTTAATTTACATAAGGTAGTAATGAATCAAAAGAGACGTCGTGTATTGCAGGTTTATTGTACGAACGATGCCCATGACTACGCTTACGTCTCTGAGTATGGTTAAAAAGTCTAATCATATTTACATTATTACACTGCGGACTGGAAAGATTTCCAACACTATCGACATTGTCATTACATCCATTGGGAAAGACTGTCCCTAGTTTTCTAGTCCAAAATTCTTCTCGTTGTCTACGGAAAGGTGTACTCAGCGACGGACTATTTGTGTGGTGATAAAATCTTTTAGAGAATTCTAACTTTCATTGATAAAATAGAATGATCCGGTGAATTAAAATGTTTGTATAAAAGCTGCTGACCACCATGATTTATTTGAAATCGATGACCTGATATTCTTTTGTTAAGCGATCCTTTGGTTTCACCGACATATACAAGTCCACACAAATTACATTCTATTCCATAGACAACATTAGAAGATTTGCAGTTCAGATTTTCCCACGTTTTGGTATAAAAGCTCTGTCCAGTAAGATTACTGGTGAAAGAAGTGTCAGTTATCAAAATATCACAGGTTTTACAGTTTCGCACAGAACATTTTGAAACAGAAGACATGGGATCGGAAAAGGAATTATCCAATATATCTGTAATAGAAACCTTACATTCTTTCAATTTGGTGTATGATGTATTGGTTTTATACCAAAACTGGGAATCTGAAGACTGTACATATGACATATGTTTAATATCCCTGAGGATTATCCGAGGGACACCAAATCAACTCCTTGAGTCTGTGTCCCTTATAGACCCAAAGGAGTGACGCCTTTTTATACCGGACGACGCGCCTGCCAGTATCATTTCGTTATTCTGTGTACTCATGAATGAATATATTGGATTCCGAATCTTCAAAAGAATCCTTACAATCAAAAATACATTGCGGGTTCCAGTAAATTTTCAACCAAGCCTCTTTCTTTACTCCTCACTAAAATAGTAACAGTAGTGAAGAAGAAACTTCAAGAGTACTGTACAACAATATATTCAAGAAGTGAATAAGACGTGGATAGTCAAAAATGCCAAGGAACTTTTGGACAACTAAAAATCACGAGATTTAACCACAATTAACAGCTTACAAACTTACGACTTTTCAACTTTATACACAACCATTCCCCATGATAAAGTAAAGTCCAGGGTTTTAGATATCATTGACAGCTGCTTTATCAATAAAAATGGAACTCGAAAATTTACTTAATTGGTCATTGGTCATTTGCAAAATTATTTTGTTAAAACGCATTCTGATTGCACACACAAGTACTCTGAAGTTGACGTCATAAAGATGGTTGAGTTTCTGATTGACAGTATCTATGTGGTTTTTGGAGACAAGGTATTCCAACAGTCTATTGGAATCCCCATGGGTACTAATTGCGCTCATTTAGTAGTAGACCTATTTTTGTGTTCATTTGAAGCAGAATTTGTGCAAAATCTTATGCGTGAAGAGAAGAAAACACTTGCTGTTGTCTTCAACTCGACATTTAGACATATCGACGACGTACTGGCAATTCATAATGGTAATTTCCATTCCTATGTCGATACGATATATCCTGGTGAGCTTGAGATAAAAGATACCACAGAGTCTGACACATCTGTTTCATACTTGGATATTGTATTTGAAAAAGACGTTTTAATGGTAATCTAACAGCCAAGCTATATGATAAACGTGATGACTTTAATTTTTCTATCGTCAACTTAATCCCTTATTTATGTAGCAATATACCCTCATCACTTGCATATGGAGTTTATATATCTCAGCTGATTCGATACGACAGAACATCCTCTACATGAACGAGGCAAATTATTGACAAAAAAGTTGATGAAACAAGAATATCAGCAATCTCGTTTAAATTCATCATTTTGTAAGTTCTATGGTCGATACAATGACTTTGTTAGCAAACACAAATTATCATTGAGTCAAATGCTGACTGACGTTTTTCATATTGATTGTTAGTCCATTATTTATACACCGAATTTTTCTGTTTTTTCCTGATGATGACAAGGAGAACACGGCGTGTGTGACCGGTTGGCAAAGGATGCTCACTCCTTCATGGCACCTGATTCCACCTCTGATGTTTTGGAGATCCGTGTTTGCTCCGCTCCTGTTTTGTATTGTTTTATGGACTTTTGATCTTAAACTGTTTATTATCTTCATTATGTTCATTATACATTTCAAAGAGGTAACTTATTTATTGTAAAAGATTTAACACCACCTTAAGGATGCATATATCCAGAATCAATTGAATATTCTCAAGATACTTTATCATCCACTGTTATGCCACATTTACACTTTATGACTTTATTCCTTGTGTTCTTGGAATTGTAATACTTTCAAACCTTTAAGATGACCGAACAGGATAAGTTCATTCCTTCAGGAAGATAACGCATTTAATTCACATATGGAAACATCCCTAATATTTTATAATTGTCTAAAAATTATTATAGATTTTGATTTTCTTTGTAGATTGCACTGGATTCAGACTGAGACCTGTTGCTGGATTGTTATCATCACGTGACTTCCTGTCCGGTCTCGCTTTTCGTGTTTTTCATTCCACACAGTACATACGTCACAGTTCCAGACCAATGTACACACCAGAACCGTAAGTTTTTCTCATATCTTATTTTGAAATCAAAGTATCGGTGAATAATACTACATGTATTTTTTGAAAGTTGTTATAGAACAAGTGTGCTAATATTATAGCAAAAGCCCTCACAAGACCTTTTTTCAAAATTTGTTTTCCCTTTTTTCAAAAAAAGTATTTCATATATTGTAGGGATGTTTGTCATGAATTGCTGGGCCACGTCCCTCTCTTTGCCGATCCAGCATTTGCTCAATTTTCTCAAGAGATTGGATTAGCTAGCCTTGGAGCCCCGGATGACTATGTCAAAAAATTGGCAACGGTTAGAAATACACTAATTAATAAAATAAGTAAACATGTATATTTATGTGGAAAACAAATACTGTAAACCAGTTTTTATTCGCGTGCGAGAAATTTTCGCGAAGTTCACGAGAGCCTCGTCATTGCGAATATTTCTCGCCGCGAACCGGTCCTTAAAGTGTATGTTTCTTTTAACAATAGATCAAAAAGGGTTTATCGCGAAAATTAATCGTCGCGAACTAGTTTTCCCTGGTAAATCGCGAAATAAAGTCGTCGCAAATAAAAGTTGGACTACAGTATATCAATGAAATGGTATATGCTCTTATTTATGTGTAAAGCAAATATTTCGATGAATTGGTGTATGTTTAGCAAAGAATTTGAAAGAGAAATCTTCACTTGATAAAATAATAGTTGTAAGTGATAGGCTATTAAGGACAGATGACACAAACAAAAAAATGATGTCTGGATTGGTATATATTTTTGGGCTTATGTCTATGGTAAATGATTTAAAAAATAATTTCCTAAAATTTTCAAGAATTGTAAACCTTTTATGATGTTCAAAATTGTACTTTTCCCCAACCATCCTTCATAATACGAGGGTTGTCCGTAAAGTTCGTGGACAAGCTAAGAATTAAATAAAAGTTGCGTCATTTATATTTATTATTAGCATATTTCTAATCTTTTACTTAATGTGAATTGAAAAATGTAAAATCTTATTCAATTTCAAATGTTTATTTTCAATTATGGCTTCATAATTAGACTTGGAATGGAGACCCAGAGCACCGCAGAATTTTAATTAAAAAAAATATTGATCACTTTAAAAATTTAATTTGTATTTTATAAAGTTCTGCGGACATCTGAATGACTTTTATATTTAAAGGTTGACAGAAGCTATCACGTCAAACATGCAAAATTTGAACGTTCAAAGTTGTAAAATGGCTGAGCAATCAGAGTTAGAACTGATTAAGACGGATCGGAATTGATCAAAAAAGGGACGTTTTTGCAGTGATGAAATTCTGCATAGACATCGGATAAAGACCTACAGATACCAATACATTTCGTAAACATTCGGGAAAACATAGTAAAAGAAGCTGTATATTAGTATTTAAGTGGCATATAATATTTTCGGACGGAAGGAACAGTTTATAGGATGACATGCATGAAGGAAAACCCCCATTCCGAGATTGCAGTGCTGTAAAAAATGACTTTCATAACGTGACTTTACCGTATTTCCGTAAATAAAATCGTTTTACGTGGACAAAGGTTGGATGATTACAGGATATAAGACAGGCATTATTAAATATCATTTTACGTGTGAAACCTGAACATTTTGTGCACATATTTATGAATGGTAAAAGCGACATCAGAAATTAAATGTACATGTATAGAGTTAACCGGTGACAATGTTGAAAAAAGTTACATGTAAGTTGTTGAAAACTTGCATGTTAATAAAATAAAACATGAATTTAATGAAAATAATAGTTTCGTATATTTTATTAATATTTGTTAGTAATTATCAATGTTGTCTACGAACTTTACGGACAACCCTCGTATATATAATTTTTTATCAATAAAAATCCCATTTTTGTGAAACATTGATTAAAAAATCAAAAACTATACGGTTAAACATGTTCGTTTTAATTATATAAAAATTATTTGTTATTTCAATTTGTTTTGACAAAAATTTGTATTGTCTGTCCTTAATAACATCTTGCTTATTGTTTACTAGTATTTTTAGCTCACCTGAGCCAAAGGCTCAAGTGAGCTTTTCTGATCAAAATTTGTCCATTGTCTGTCGTTGTCGTCGTTGTCGTTGTTGTCGTTGTTGTCGTTGTCGTTGTCGTTGTAAACTTTTCACATTTTCATCTTCTTCTCAAGAACCACTGGGCCAATTTCAACCAAACTTGCTACAAAGTATCCCTGGGTAAAGGGGATTCAAGTTTGTTCAAATGAAGGGCCACGCCCTTTTCCAAGGGGAGATAATTAAGAA